TCTCATCATTGATGTTTCTATCTCTCTCCCTCTCCTTTCCTCTCTCTGAAATCAATAAAGATATATTTTTTTAAAAAAAGGATGAACTCCTGCTACATTCATCAGTAAGGATAAATACGGCACACATAATGTTGAGCATAAGGAGCTAAACATAAGGGTACATAATCTATGATTCCATTTGTATATAAAGTTCAAGAACAATTAAAACTATAGTGATAGAAGCCAGAATCGTGGCTCTCCACAGACTGTGGGCTGGAGGAGTGGAAGCTACAATGGGTATTGCCTGGGAAGCACAGGAGAGGCCCTTCTGGGATGCTGGGAAAGTCCCTAATGTGGTTAGTGGTTACATTTATCAAGCTAAACATTTAATATTTATGCACTTTACTATGTGTATGTTGTACCCAAATGATAAGTTTTTTTTAAGAAAATAAAAACTACCCTGGTCTCCCTAGTCCTCTCCAATTCATCCTTCATATTCTTGTTAAAATTACCCATTTTTAAAGCATATGACATTAGGTTACTCCTCCGTAAAAGTCTTCATTGGGTCCTCTTGCCATGATGTCTCTGTTATAGTTTTTAGGATTCATCATGTCTAGTCCCTGCTTAACTGTCAGTCTTATTTCTCTGGGTTTCAGCCAAACTCTTTGCAACTTGCACCTCCATATCTTCAAGCCACCTGGTCTTTTGGAAATCCACACCAGCCCTCAGGAATCGGCTCTCTCAAGAACTAGTTTCTCCCTGAAGCCCTCTTTCACAGCCCCATGTGTTTTTTTCAAGAAGGATTACATGCTCCTTCCTCTCTGCTCCCATGTCTCTATTCCACATCTCAACCACAACACACATTACAGGGTGGTGAGATTTATGTCAGCTAATTTAGAACTGAAGGTCAGGTAAAGAGCTTCACAGATAAGAAAAAGCTAAAGGAATTCATCACCACCAGACCAGCACTACAGGAAATGTTGAAGGGTCTTCTTTAAGAAGAAGCTAATGAACAAAATAATCTGATGAACTAAATAGATCCAGAGTCATTGACACAGGCAACAGATGATCATATTTCAGAGGAAAGAGGGAAGGGGGGTGGAGGGTGGGAAGCGATTAACCAAAGACGTTATATGCATGTACGCATAACCCATGGACACAGTCAGTAATGGGGTGAAGGCCTGGGGAGGGGGTGGGAGCGAAGTGGAGGGGGTCAATTGGGGGGAAAAATGGGACACCTGTAATACTCTCAGCAATAAAGATAAATTTTTAAAAAATTAAGTCATTAAAAATTTAAAAACCGGAAAAAAAAAATTACTCATCTCACTATTTCAGTATATATTGTTCATTCAGAATAGTCTTCTGTTTGACAATCAGTGTAATTCATTACATACTAAAAATAACACCATGTTTATGCACAAATAAATTGATCTTCCCAGTAAAAAAACAACAACAACAACAACATGTGTGGGAGTTGACTTTTCAAATTTGAATTTTAATCTTTATTTTTTAGCTTTCCTGTGCAGTCCACATGTTGCCAAATCCTATGCTTTAAGAGCAAAAGGGCAAAAATAAAATTTTACCCCATATTTATATATGAATGTTAGGTACCTGTATATATGATTATGTAACCTCATTAACTGGGAGGTTTTCATCAACAACTGTACAAGTTTCTTGAGGAATAGAAATTTGTATCAACCAATAATTCCAAACAGTATACATCAGTATACCCATTCTTGGCTAAAAAAAAACCACCTGAGAGTATCAAATGGATACTTTACATATTGAATCTACACTATATTACTTTTCTAACATTTTTCTTCTTTTTAAAATTTCCTCTGACAGTTTCCCAAAGGATCTGCATAAAGTTCTGTTATATGTGTAGTATGTACTCAGTATATGATAGTTCATTTAACCAATTTTACGTAGTCAAGTTTGTTTTGCAAACAGAACTGATGCACGATAAGGCAAAACATTTCTGCCTCTCTGTGTCTTATAACAGATTCTTCACAGCTACATTTCAATCCTCACAATATTTCAAAAGTACTATTACCTCCATTTATGGAGATGTGCAGGGTGGTGAAATACTCAGTTGCCCAAAACACAGGTTCCCTTCTGAGGCAGAAGGAAGCAAAGCTTTGCCTTCTTGTTTCAGCTCTCACACTATAAACAAATATCCTCTTCACAATCTACTTAGTGCCACGTTTTTCACATTTTTTGTGCTTTTTTGTTCCCGATTTTTCTGTTTAAAATGGCCCCAGGTGTAATGCTGAAGTGCTAGCTAAGGCTCCTAAGTGCAAGGAGCCTGCGATGTGCCCTGTGGAGAAAATGCGAGTGTTAGATAAGCTCCCCTGAGCACGAGTTACAGTGCTACTGGCCAGGAATTCATGTTAATGAATAGAAAATACATATATCATAAATTGTCTTTAAATCACACGCATAGAAAGCAAGGGTCTGTATTGATCAGGGGACTGACACGTGGCGACCTGGCTCAGGGGCACCTAGCTCCGTTTTCCCCCGGGGCGCGATGGTTCAGGATTCGCTAATTCAGCGTTGGCAGCAGTTTTGCAGAGCTTAACTATCACAAAGAACGGGAATGAACTCTATTTATAATGAAGGAAAGAGTTCTTCAAATGCATCTGATTTCCTTATTTACCCAAGACCCGGGCGGGGGGTGGGGAGCCTTTCCAAGGAATTACTCCACTGCTCCCCCAAAGAGCCTATAAAAGCGGTGGTCCTGCCTTCCGTGCCCTTGGCCCCCTCTGCTCTCTCCATTCTATTCTTGTGCAGATCTGTCTTTTGGACGGGGTCTCCACTTAAATGTTTTCCAGAACTCGAGTCATGTACCAAATGTGATAGAAGGACGCACGACGCACAGGTACGTTTAAATGCGAACTCTGCGGATGTGCTTCTGCAGAATTCACCGCACAACTCCTGCTACCTCAGTGCCACGGGAACCCAGAAAGGGGAATTTCCCTACCTTGGGCATCCATCTTCCGAATCTCCCAAGAACATTATACAAATACGAGAAAATAATATTTTTTCCTTCTTACTCTCATACAGTAACCACCCGGTACCCCCTCCCATAGGCCTTAAAGCTGGTCAACAGTTTATTTCTGTTTCTTTAAGACGGAGGGCGGGTGTTTTGCCCTCTTCGGAAATGGCTGCCCGTGCTTCACACGCTCTGTGATGCTTACGGAACGCACTGCCAGGACTTTCCCGGCGCAATATGGGGACTTGGCCGCGCGGGACTGAACCTCCCAGCGTGCTTTGCAGCCCGGCCGCGAGGGATGGGGAGCCCGCGGAGCTTCTGGCCGCCCGATCTCCTCTAGAGGTTGCGATTGAGCCCGGGGCCTGAGGCCGGGACAGCCACCAAGGGGCAAGATGGAAGCGTGGCGCTATGTGAGGAGGGGCTACGGCCGCTGTGTGGTGGGGAGAGGCCGGTCAGTAAGTGT